CAATTCCCAAGCCGGTCTCAAAAAATCATGCCCAGATGTCGGACCTCATACGTCGAACTCAACGGGAGAATCCATCATATATATATATATATATATATATATATATATATATATATATATTATTGTTTATAATTAGTATGATTTTGACTACGTCTTTCAATGATAATGTTATTAAGCTTATCAGACAATATGAAAGGAACGTACTTGAAATAAATAGACAAATCTATAATGAAATATGAATCAATGAAAAATTGCTGCCTAAATATATATATATATATATATATATATATATATGTATGTATGTATGTGTGTGTGTGTGTGTGTGTGTGTGTGTGTGTGTGTGTGTGTGTGTGTGTGCTATGGGCCAACAGTTTAGAAAAGCCTTCTGTATTTCAATGCGTGTTTTTTTCGGGCAGAGAAAGTCTTTTTCTTCCTGGTGTGTTTTGGCATATACTCATTAATAATTATATTATTATTATTATTATTAATAATAATAATAATAATAATAATAATAATAATAATAATAATAATAATAATAATAATAATAAAAACGTGCCACATTAGAACATCAACAATTTCTGTTGTAGTTGGAGCCCTCGGATTGATTGGAAAACATTCCAATAGACTCATTGACAGGATTCTTGGTAGTCTATGCTTAATGAACAATAAAAAAAATGTTCTCCTGAGTACAGCCCACACCTTACGAAGTGCTTTATCTATGTAAAATATGTGCGTTTTTTTAATTGCTCATTGGAAAATGTCATGATGCCATTTCTAACCTTAGGTTTCTCTTTGAGACGTATAATGAAATGGATACACACCAGAAATCAAAGGAAATATAACAATAATAATGACGAAATTAAATCTTTATTGTATAAAGTTTCCGGAAAACTTTAGTTCCCTGCTGGCTAATAATAACCTTAGGGCTGAAGATTTAAAGACTTTATGTAAAACTCCTCTACAAAATTAAACGCAATGCGTTAAATCGTTTCATTATCCTAATTTTATAAAGAGATAATTAAATCATAACTTGATTATGTTCTTATTTTCTATTCAAGTTATATGTGCTATCCATTTTGGTAGTTGCTGTTCTTGAAAGTCCTCAAGTAATGTGGTTTCTGTTATTTGGTTAAATTCTTTATTATTCTGTAGCGCTAGTTGACAAGGTCCTCGCAAAGACCTACAGGCATCTAATGCTCGGATCCATTTTTAATCATTAATCTGAGAAAGCAATTGTGTGCAGGTGAATGTTTAAATATTTCTGAACGAGTTTGGTGCCACGGCTGACATCCATATGGAAATTTTGATATTACGAGTTTTTTTATGTTTTAGTTTTTGTAGGAATTTGCGGTGTTGGGTGATAGAAATTTTGGAGTAGCGAGATATGATAGTGAAAATGGAGAAGAAAAAGAAAAAGAAAAAGAAAGAGAAGAAAAAGAAGAAGAAAAAAGAAGAGAGAGAGAAAAAAAGAAAAATGAAGAATGAAAAAGAAAGAAGAAAAAAGAAAAAGAAGAAAAGAAGAAAGAGAAAAAGAAGAAAAAGGAAAGAGAGAAAAGAAGAAAAATGAAGAAGAAAAAAAGAAAGAAAAAAAGAAGAGAGAGAAAAAAAGAAAATGAAGAATGAAAAAGAAAGAAGAAAAAAGAAAAGAAGAAAAGAAGAAAGAGAAAAAGAAGAAAAGGAAAGAGAGAGAAAAGAAAAAATGAAGAATGAAAAAGAAAGAAGAAAAAGAAAAGAAGAAAAAGAAGAAAGAGAAAAAAGAAGAAAAAGGAAAGAGAGAGAAAAGAAAAAAAATGAAGAATGAAAAAGAAAGAAGAAAAAAGAAAAAGAAGAAAAGAAGAAAGAGAAAAAAGAAGAAAAAGGAAAGAGAGAGAAAAGAAGAAAAATGAAGAAGAAAAAAGAAAGAAGAAAAAAGAAGAGAGAGAGAAAAAAAGAAAAATGAAGAATGAAAAAGAAAGAAGAAAAAAGAAAAAGAAGAAAAGAAGAAAGAGAAAAAAGAAGAAAAAGGAAAGAGAGAGAAAAGAAAAAAAATGAAGAATGAAAAAGAAAGAAGAAAAAAGAAAAAGAAGAAAAGAAGAAAGAGAAAAAAAGAAGAAAAGGAAAGAGAGAAAAAAGAAAAAAATGAAGAAAAAAGAAAAAGAAAGAAGAAAAAAGAAAAGAAGAAAAGAAGAAAGAGAAAAAAGAAGAAAAGGAGAGAGAAAAGAAGAAAAAAAGAAGAAAAAAGAAAGAAGAAAAAGAAGAGAGAGAAAAAAAGAAAATGAAGAATGAAAAAAAAGAAGAAAAAAGAAAAGAAGAAAAGAAGAAAGAGAAAAAAAAGAAAAAGGAAAGAGAGAGAAAAGAAAAAAAAATGAAGAAATGAAAAAGAAAGAAGAAAAAAAGAAAAGAAAAAAAAGAAAGAGAAAAAAGAAGAAAAAGGAAAGAGAGAGAAAAAGAAGAAAATGAAGAAGAAAAAGAAAGAAGAAAAAAGAAGAGAGAGAGAAAAAAGGAAAAATGAAGAATGAAAAAGAAAGAAGAAAAAAGAAAAAGAAGAAAAGAAGAAAGAGAAAAAAGAAGAAAAAGGAAAGAGAGAGAAAAGAAGAAAAATGAAGAAGAAAAAAGAAAGAAGAAAAAAGAAAAAGAAAAAAAGAAGAGCGAGAAAAAGAAAAAAGAAGAATCTATAATATTTAATGCGTTTCTATTGTCGCTGCATCTATGTACTGACCAAGCTCGATGTTGCTTAAATTCAGTGATTATGTGAGAACAGGTCTTTCAACGTGAGGTGAACGGATGCAAACTTCCATGCAAATAAACGACAGTTCCATTTTCGCCAGAAATTTTATATTCATTTCCTATCATTTCTGATTGTTTTAGTAATGTTGAAACATTTCAGATGAAAGAATTGCTATTTAAATTCTAATAGTGAATAGAATTGCTTTTGCTCTTTCCAGTTGCAGAAATTAAGATGAAAGAAAAAATGGCAAGAAATAATAATAATAATATTGGACAATACTTCATCCAAAGGATTCCAAAATTATTCATTCTAACTTCATAATTTCCACAAATATATTTCATGTATCATAGAGTTTAGCGGACATTATTGACCTCTTATTTATTAAGATCAGGATAACATGCTTATTTAGACTTTAGAGGGGAATCTATTTAACTATCGCCTCAGTACTATTTTTTATTAGTACGTCTAGGCTCGTCACATTTATACGAAAAGTAATTAAAAAAAAAAATGTTCTTTATGAGAAATGCCAAAAAAAAGAAAAAAAAAAAAGAAAACATTAACACTTCCCGGTGTAATCCAGTTTCCGAAAATATTTTTGGTAACATAACATATTATGTCTATTGCACATGATGCTAAGAGTCAAGGTCACTGATATGCTTAGGGCACTGACCACCATTGAAGAAATGCAAAGTTTCTTATTATTGGTCTGGTAGTGGACAATGAGGAATATTTCCCGAGGAATCAACAGGAAGCCTGTTCGATGATTGGGACACACGGACAGGATGAAATGGGTTGCCGATCGGAAGATGGATATTTTGAAAATGTCAGCAAAATTAAGTTTATTTTATGAGTTTCTAAAAATGGGTTCGTCTTAAAGTTAACAAATCGGGAATAGGTACACTTTCAACTTCACATAAATCATCATCATCTTCTTCTTCTTCTTCTTCTTCTTCTTCTTCTTCTTCTTCTTCTTCTTCTATTCCCCTTTACTTCTTCTGACCTTTGCTAATTCTTCTTCTTCTCTCCTCCTTTTAGTGTCTTTTACGACTTCTTTTTCTTATCGTTCTTCTTCTTATTTCTGCTATATTCTTTCTTTCTTTCTTTCTTTCTTTCTTTCTTTCTTTCTTATACTGTTCTTCCTCCTTTCTTCCCCTTCTTCTCTTCTTAATCATTCTTCTTACTTAATCACTTTTTCTTCTTCTCTTTGTTAGCTTTCTTCTTCTTCTTTCACTTCTTATTCTTTTTGTCCCTACTTTCTTATCTCTTTTTTCTTCGTTTGGAATGAAAACAGCGATGCCACTAACCTGAATCAATCATAAGAATTCAGGCAGTGAAGTTAATAAATATTAACACTTCAAATGAATCGGTGTGTGAAATGGATAAGTTAGAACAATTTTAGTATACGAAATGAAATTGAATATGGAATAGTCTTCCAAAGAGATAGTTTCACCCAACACCACTAATTGCTACACAATCAAAAACATTAAAACAAAATCCTAGTTATGTTCTCAAATAGTCTCGTCATATCGGGATTTTTATATGTATGTCAGACATGGCACCAAACTTGTTCAGAAATATCTAAACTGTCAATGATTATAAATGGCTTCGAGCAAATGATGCCTGGAAGTTTTAACGAGTAGCATTCTTCTTCAAATCCTTGCGGACTGGCGTTACAGAAAAAGTAACAGAAACCACATCACTTGAGGACGTTCAAGACCAGTAACCAGTAAAATGGATAGCACATATAACTTGAATAGAAAATAATGACACGCTTAAGTTTTTTGCCATTGTAGACTACTTCATTAATGGAAAGTGAGATAACACTTATTGCTCTTCTGACAAATATTTTGATAGATTTATTTCAACTGATTGTAGCACTGGTTGCTCGCTTATGGAATGTTTCCGTATAAGGAAATGGCTAATATTGCCATTACCATTAGCCTTTCATATTGTTTGTCTTATTATCCAGAATATTCTTTCTTTTGTTCATTTTCATCTGAGTCGTTGCGATAAAAAGCAACTGAAATGAAGATTAAAGAAATGCTAATAAAACAATTGCTAATGGAGCACAGTATAGATTTGTTTTTTCAATATTAACGTTAAGTGTGATTTTCTTTACTTGCTCTCTAGCGCAGGTGGGAAGTGCGAGAAAAAAAACAGTTGGAGTAGAAGTGGCAGTTGCATTTAGATATTTCAACAGTGAAAGGGTGGGACCTATATGCCAATCCAGTAACACTCTTAAATTAATGTATTCGGGGAACTAGAGAAGAAAGCTTGTCAGAGCAGTTGCCACGTCACGTCGGTGAGAAACTGACTGAAGTCGTGATCCAACTCAGGATTTGTTAGATTATAGATCATTCTTTGGATTTTGTTAAGAATCTCGAAATGTACAGCAGGAGCACCGGACTAAATATGGTAACAGTATTTAATGGACGAATGGTACAAGATGGAATCTGACAAGAAAAGTTTTCTACTGCGACACAGTGACCCAACGTTTCTTGCAGTAGATGAAGCTTATTATGAAATTAGAGACCCGTTTTCTCCAGCTGATGCGTTCGTTGTACGGATGAGTAATGTTTTTATGTATCATTATTTGTCTAGGCTATATTTCCGGCCCAGATATATTGTTTTATTTACCAGAACCTTCTTGGCATGATGGCGCTGCATTAGCTGATGTATGCAGTTATTGTCTAAACTTTAACCGTTAATTTCATTTTTATAATTCAAAAAACAAAAGCAAAATGGAACAGTTTCCTTCTGTTTGGCTTGATTAACCTCAGCTGAAATTTTATTTCTTCAGTTCAAACTGACTCCTGTTTCGGTTTGCTTCCTGATTAATAATCGTCTGATTTCCATTGAGGAACTGAAAAAACATGGGAGTATTTTCTCTCATGTTTTAAAGCCATTTTTCTGCTGCTCTTTCAAATTTGTTTCCTTGATCAAGTAGTTTAACTAACCTCTCACTTAGTTTCCTACAAACATTCGATTTTTTTTGAAAACATGTTCTTCCTGATGGTTCAATAATTGTATCTTTTTCACATATGGCTTTTATATTTTTCACGGCTTCAGTTCCATTAAGGCTATATTTGAACTCAACGAAATAGAAAACGCGGAAATTACGAGCCAAACGGCTTCCCGAACTTGCCTATGTGATTGTTTTTTTTTTAATTGATGGAATTAAATTTTTTTTTCTTAAATAATCAGCAGATAATTTTTCGATAAATATAAATATTTTCGTGGTAAACGTTCTTTCCACTTAGCTGTCTAGACTTTATGAATGTAAACGCAGTACTAGGTTGGTATCTTGGCCTCATCATTTTCCAGTTGAAATGGCCAGATGTAACAGTAAGGTCTATCTTATTTCCAGTCAACTTTAATTTTCAAAGATGTAAATGTAATGTGAATCGTTATATTCCGTCTTCTTTATTCCTGTTCATTTATAATCCTCTCTCCTTAATAATTCTTATTCCCATATTCTATTAAACTCAGTAACCCCTTACATTTTTCAGGTTTTGCTTGGGGCAATAACTCGTCAGATAGCAAAATTTTTTTTAATTTCTTTTTCTTATGTCTATTAAATTACTACTTTTGTCGCTTAAGAATATCCTTATTATATTTATTTTAAGGGGGACAATGGTGATAACAGAGTTTTGTTGCTACCTGCTGGGTAGATATGGAAGTCATGGGAAAAGTCTTCTCACAACTAATGAATTTATAAAAGTAAAGATTACCATTTTAGAACATGCAGAATCAATACAAGACTAAGGAAAATTTTCGGTACAAGTAAACTGTATATTTCTTAGTTTACGGAAACTGGAAATATAACTACCTTAATTAAAATTAGTCATTTATTTACAACTTAATGAGCCAACACATCTGACTTTAAATTAGTATTATTAAATCATACACCAGGTAATTGGTAATTTTTCTATTTGGTGATAGCGGTAAATACAAACTTGTTGAAATAAAATTATAAAATTATCTAACTTTATTCATTAATTTTCAAGATGGCGGACACAGCCACCATAAAGTACATTACATTGAGATTTAATTCAATCATTAAATACAGAATTGGTAAAATTTGAATTCATGGTGATAATCTACATTCAATTACAATTATTAATCAACTTTATTGAGATATTTTCTACTTTGAAAACGCGGTATATATATATATATATATTATATATTAAATGAATATTTTGCTATATCAGTTATTTTTCTACGACAGTTGGTCGATATTTATGGTGGCCTACAACATGGCGTCAGTGATAGAGAAGATGCAAATAGGAACTCCTATATGGCAATGAATGCTGGGCTATCACTGCACAGACGAAGAAAATTGAAGCGATAGAATGTTGAAAATACGATGGACTGAATCCGTGGGAAACGATGAAGTTTTAGAGAAAATCGAAGAAATGACTCATATAGTTAACATCAGAAAGACATAGTTGGAATATCTAGCGCACATAATGAGGAAAGAAGGCTTGAAAAAAATTGATACACACAAGTTATACTGAAGGCAAGAGGAACAGAGGAAAACAGCGTATAACCTACCTATCTTGTGGAAATGGATGGCAGAATAGGGCTTAGGAGAGATAACAAAACGACAACATTTATTAAGAGCTACAAAGATCAGGAAATTGTTGTAAACCATAATGGCCAAAGCCATTTTGTTTACAATAACTTACCTAGCGAGCTTGAGTAATTGTATTGTGGTACAAGGTTTAGGAGAGATAACAGAACGACAACATTTATTAAGAGATACAAGGATGAGGAAATTGTGGAGAAACATAACTGCCAACGCCATTTTCTTTACAATGACTTACCTAGCGAGCTTGAGTAATTGCATTGTGGTACAAGGTTAAGGAGAGATAACAAAACGAAAACATTTATCAAGAGCTACAAAGATGAGGTAATTGTGGTAAACCATGATCGCCAACGCCATTTTCTTTGAAGTAAATTACCTACCGAGCTTGAGTAATTGTATTGTAGTACAAGGTTTATGAGAGATAACAAAACGACAACATTTATTTAGAGCTACAAATATCAGGAAATTGTGGTAAACCATAATCGACAACGCCATTTTGTTTACAATAACTTACCTAGCGTGCTTGAGTAATTGTATTGTGGTACAAGGTTTAGGAGAGATAACAAAACAAAAACTTTTATTAAGAGTTACAATGATGAGGAAATTGTGTAGAACCATAATCGCAAACACCTTTTTTTTTTTTTACAATACTTACCTAGCGAGCTTGTGTAATTGCATTGTGGTACAAGTTTTAGGAGATATAACAAAAACGAAAATATTTATTAAGAGCTACAAAGATGAGGAAATTGTGGAGAACCATAATCGCCAACGCCATTTTGTTTACAATAACTTACCTAGCGAGCTTGAGTAATTGTATTGTGGTACAAGGTTAAGGAGAGATAACAAAACGACATTTATTAAGAGCTACAAAGATATGGAATTTGTGGTAAACCATAATCGCCAACGCCATTTTGTTTACAATAACTTACCTAGCGAGCTTGAGTAATTGTATTGTGGTACAAGGTATAGGAGAGATAACAAAACGAAAACGTTTATTATGAGCTACAATGATGAGGTAAGTGTGGAGAACCATAATTCCAACGCCATTTTTTTTACAATAACTTACCTAGCGAGTTTGACTAATTGCATAGTGGTACAAGATTTAGGAGAGATGACAAAACGAAAACATTTATTAAGAGCTACAAAGATATGGAATTTGTGGTAAACCATAATTCCAACGCCATTTTGTTTACAATAACTTACCTAGGTTGAGTAATTGTATTGTGGTACAAACTTTAAGAGTGATTACAAAAAGACAAAATTTACTAAGACCTACAAATATGGCGAAATTGTGGAGCGCCATGATTGCCAATGTCTTGAATGGGTCCCAGGACATAAATGAAGATGAATTTCAAAATGTGGTTATTGTTATATGGCTGGGTGATGATATTATGCCATAGCACCCGTTAATCATGATGACTATGCCCAAATTAGATAGAAAGACACGATCGGTTGTAGCGTGAAGAGTGAGATTTACGCTTATATGAAAGAGAGCAATAAAACCTTCGAGAACTCATACAAAACCTCAGCACAATGAGGCTTTAATGAAATCTTTATTTTAATCATGGCAAAGCAAATTCGAAAAAGACAAAACCTGAACCTCAAACGCATCTTAAAAGGTAAGTAAAATATTAAGAAACGGAAACATTTCTTATGTAAGAAAGAAAACAGTACCGAACTGCTATGTAATATCAATTCTCATATATGACAGTAAATGAGGGACAATTTCCTCATTAATGAAGAGAAAACTGGAGGCAGCAGACGTGTCGTTCTATAGAAGGATGCCGAGAATACTATGGAAGTAGCGTGTAAGAATGCAGAAAGTCTTCAGAGAAATGGAGACATACTCAAAATCAGAAAACAATGGAGACATACTCAAAATCAGAAAACAATGAAGACACATAATGAGGAAAAATGCCTTGAAGAATTTGATAATTACGTGATATGTCGAAAGCATAATTGACAGTGCGAAGCAGTGGGCCATCTACCTGACTAACTTGTGATAACGTTGTTAAGAGCTAAAAGGGACAAAAAGTTGTGGAGATCTTCGATCGTCGATGTTCAGCGCATAGAAGAAAGACCACATCTCTTCGTACAGCCCAAATTTGGTCCCTCAGGTTTTTGTTTGTTCTGAAATTGAAAAATGCGTTGAAAGGTCAGCATCTTTTTTGTCCAACGTTGAATTTTCAATTGCTATGCAAAATTGGGTGAAAAATAAACAAGATACCTTTTTCGTGGCCGGAACAGAAAAGATATTGGACCCCAAACTTCACCGCAGAGGTGGTGACATGCCATACACCAGAACCGGTCGGCCGAGAGAGCAAGCGACAGTTCATATTGTAGTTTAAAATTTGTAAAGAAATTTATAGTTTAAAAGCAGTAATTTAACCTTGCTCTCCAGACAGTTCCTCTGTAGCTAAATGGTATAGCACATAAGGCTATATGACGGTTTCGTGTCGGATACAGGTTTGTATTCCTGTCGGAGGACACACACTTTCTATGAAATATCTCTGACATTCAGGCCGGTAAATGTTGTTAATACTGTTTATTATAAGCAGACCATTTACTTAAATATTTGTATCTATAAAAATAATATACAAACAGAAAATATCTTAAAATATATATCACTATAAAAACTATCTCTTATTTTGTGTTATTTAATTTCTTACGTAAGTTGCTGTGTTTATTGGTGGGAAGATATCCATGTTTTCGATATCGGGTAGCGTTTCTGAACAGGGTGGAAATTGTACAATGAATTTAGAATTTCTATTGAGCTTGACAGACTCACAAATGAACTGCAGATGTTCTTAGCTTTGATCCGCATCAAAAAGCAATTTCCGTCGAATCATATTTATCAAAATTGGGCAGAAGATAATCTACGCCTGTGAGTTGGCGATTTTTCAAACACCCGAATAGGGAGCAAATCTGATGTTACATATGAATCGACCAAAATATGTATTAAAAAAAAAAAAAGAAAGAATTAATTGATGCGCATGAACAAATATTGCTAGAATGGGATGAGCATAAAAAGAGATATATTGCTAGGTATGAAGATAGATAGATAGGTAGAAAAGAATAGAATTAGATAGATAGATAGACAGGCAGATAGATAGATAGATAGATAGATAGATAGATAGATAGATAGATAGATAGAAAAAAGAATAGACAGAGATAGATAGATAGATAGATAGATAGATAGATAGATAGATAGATAGATAGATAGATAGAAAAAAGAATAGACAGAGATAGATAGATAGATAGATAGATAGATAGATAGATAGAAAAAAGAATAGACAGAGATAGATAGATAGATAGATAGATAGATAGATAGATAGATAGATAGAAAAGAATAGACTGAGACAGGTAAGTAGATACAAATGTATAGATAGATAGATAGAAAAGAATAGAATTAGATAGATAGATAGCCAGGCAGATAGATAGAGATAGATAGATAGATAGATAGATAGATAGAAAAAAGAATAGACAGAGATAGATAGATAGATAGATAGATAGATAGATAGATAGATAGATAGAAAAAAGAATAGACAGAGATAGATAGATAGATAGATAGATAGATAGATAGATAGAGAGATAGAGAGATAGAAAAAAGAATAGACAGAGATAGATAGATAGATAGATAGATAGATAGAAAAAAGAATAGACAGAGATAGATAGATAGATAGATAGATAGAGAGATAGAGAGATAGATAGAAAAAAGAATAGACAGAGATAGATAGATAGATAGATAGATAGATAGATAGATAGATAGATAGATAGATAGATAGAAAAGAATAGACTGAGACAGGTAAGTAGATACAAATGTATAGATAGATAGATAGATAGATAGATAGATAGATAGATAGATAGAAAAATAGACTGAGATAGAAATAGACTGAGATAGATAGATAGATAGATAGATAGATATAAACGGACTTAAGAATAAGAAAAGACTAAATTATATAGCTGTTTAGATACAACTCACATAGATAGATAAGAATAGACTGAGGTAGTTAGATAGACAGACAGATAGATAGCTAGATACGAACAAACTCACATAGATAGGAACACAGTGAAGAATATAGATACAAATATGAACTGACACACACATGAATATATATAGGAAGAGACTAAGAGAGTAGTTTAATAAGAAAGAAAAGAAAGATTTAATGATAAATAAAAACTATGATAAATATATATGCAAAGTGATTGAAAAGTAACTCCACATTTTGTATATGAGTGGCTAGACTCTTTCCTCACTTGATTTAACACTCTGCGAGTTTTTTCTTTGGGTTTGGTTAAAGGAAAAAGTCTACTATAGCACACTAAGATTTTGGAAGAACATGAAGAGCGAATACAAGAAGTTATGTCTTCCATAGCACAAGAGTTCCTGGTGAAATTGTTTAACGTGATTCCTGGTAGCAAAATTCTGTGGCCATATTGAATTTTAAATAAAACTTCATGCTAAACGTTTTCCCCTCATATTCATTTCTTGTAAAAACTATGTTTAATAAATGAATTATAAGTATTTTTAAATGTGGAGATACTTTTCAATCACCCGTTAGTTATATATATATATATATATATATATATATATATATATATATATATATATATATATATATATATATATGTATGTGTGTGTGTGTGTGATAAAGAAGTTAATGGTCAGAGTTGAATTAGACCAGGAAACATTAGTATTAAAACGTGCTGAATGCACATATAAAAAGACAAAAAATTAACATGTAAAGCTTTTAAGTATAGAAAATTAGGAAATCACTCGATTCTGCTACATTGGTATCTTCAGGCGATTTCGGTCAATTGATTTCCTAAAGCTTTATTCTTTTTATTTAAAAAAATATGAACGGTATATTTATTAAAAAATAATTAAAAGTACGACGGGAGGTGTGGTAGTATGTGAGAGGGAGGAGGAGGGGGAAAATCAAGTTTATTGGAAATATATCGGTGGCAAATTAAATGAAATATGCATTCGTTTTTTTTTTTTAATCCAACTTCAAATGAAACCAAAATGAACATTTTAGTATAAATACAACGGGACATAATTTCCGATCTCTGGTTTAAAAGATTTTTTGGATCAACAAAATTGTACATATAAACAACAACGGCCTGTATAGAGGTGATGGACTGAGGATAGCGCCGGACAAACAGAACAACAAATGACAATAAGAAAAGCGCTTTTCAAACTCTTGAAAAGCCTCTACTTTGAAATAGAAAACGATATGAATAAAACAAAAATCGTCAAATATTTGGATGTAGAATTAAATCTATAAACTGGCCGTGTCACCCATACATGAAAGCCACCACAAAATTAAATTAGGTGAATTTTAGTTATTTACATTATTCGGACTATTGTCCTCATCTTTGTCGCCATATTTATTACAACGTTTCGGCCGTTGTACGCTCCGGCCTTCTTCAGGTGGTTCGAATGTCGAACTGAACCATTTATTTCGCTCACTGAAGTAGACTGTTTTAGTTCCACGTACCATGTTTAATGGATGTCAGTTATCATAGGTACCTCCACGAGATCGCTAAAAAAAGAGCATAGCATGATGAAAAAGACGCCAAACTTGACGAAAACAAAATTTTATCGTCTAAATGTTTGTTATTCATTAAGAGGAAAGGTATTTTTGGAGTATTTTTTTCCATTTTTTAATCGTTCCTAGCACGTCCGAAATTTTCGTTAAAAATCTAGTTTTTTTTGAGTCAGCAAAATTGACCATTTTTTTCCATTTTAAAAAAAACTGGAAATCTGACTTTGAAATTTTTTTAAATATCAATTATCATTTTTTCAAAACTTATTTTAAGAAAATCAGAAATTATAATGTTTATTTAAAATATTTTGAACCAAACTTAACTTAGCTTTTGTGCCAAAAAGATGTAATTTGAAAATAAAACAAAGCAGGTCATAAACTTTCGCGTCACTTGACATGTGATGAATGACATATTGACGGATTCCGTGAGGCTAATTTGTTCTACGGAAGGAGAAAAGTGAAATAATTTACATTTACGTGAACAAATTATTTACCCCGTTATTTTTAACGAAAACTTTCAGCGGTCTAATTTTTTTTTTTTTTTTTTACTTAGCTTTCACCTTTACGTTTATGATGCTTTATGGGAAATATATTCTAAAGAAATTAAAATAAAACTGTTAAGAGTGACATTAAATTTCATATTTCTTAAGAAAGGTATCTAATTAATTTATAGGTACCTTTCTTATGAAATTTTATCAGAATTGTACATAAAATACTATAATTTTATGTACATTTATTACATTCTATTGTTATTTGTATTTGCATTCATTTTATTATTAATTTTGATATTTCATTTATGGAAAAATGTCGTAACTGAGATTAATATAAAAATAATATCATATAAATTTCATAAGATGATACTGATACTTGTAGGTAACCTTCTCAGTTGAAATTGAAAAATCAAATTAACTTCTCCACCGTGTTTTCGCAAAAGTAAAGGCCTTAACAGCGGAGAACAATGCTTAACTCAAATAACGCAACTTAATTATATTCTGGTTGGTCTTCCGTATTTTATAATTACAGCTCGGTTATAAGCACAAAATTACATTTCTTAATTACTGGGGTTCTTCTGATTAGTCAAAATGATACAATTTACAACGCGCTAAAAAAGATCTATCTCATAAGGACACTTATGAAAGCCTGTGCGCAACTTTTATCTAATTTTATAATATTTTAACAACTTAAATGTAAAATCTATTATAATTAATGAAATAACAAATAATTGTATTAAAATTCATTTTCATCGAAAAAATTTTTTTTTTCTTTTCAGAAAATATTGTCCATATTCATAAAAACAACTAAAAGCAAATAAAAGCATTTGAAATTAAATAATATCTTTGTTTTATTGAGTTTTGTATGTTACAATTCACAGCTGATTTTCAGGTATTGGGTATCCAATTAAAAACAAAAAAAAAAACATGATTTGCATTCCTCAAAGCCCTGTGCTTTTAATTAATGTAATCACTAAAACCGATGCGATCAAATTTCTAGCGTTTTCATAAAATTAGTTATGGGGGGTAATAAATATTTTTAAAAAATATTTCTACCATGACTTTCATAAAAAAAACATATTTATAATAATTTCGATCATCTGTGAATAGTTCCTGAAAGTTTCGTTAACATCCGATAATTATTTCTATTTTTGCACGATTTTTCAAATTAATGTGTGTCATACCAAAAAACGTGCTAAAATTGTCTATGTTATTTACTAGTTCCGCTGATACAAATAGAAACAAGTTTTTTTTTAATCAAAATTTAGAATTTTCTAAAAGAAGGAAAATTTTTTAAAATAATTAAAAAAAACTTTGGTCTTTCCTCTAAATAATAACATAAGCATTTAGAAAATAAAATTTTGTTTTCGGCAAGGTTGGCGTCTTTTTCATCAAGCTATGCTCTTTTTTTAGCGATTTCGTGGAGGTACCTAAATCAGTTATCTCCTGTTAATTTCCCTCTGAAAGTTCTCCACTGCCTTAGCCGGGTATTGAAATCACAATCTTTGGGTCCTGTGAGCGAAATAATGGGTTCAGTTCGACATTCCAACCATCTGAAGAAGGCCGGAGCGTACAATGGCCGAAACGTTGTAATAAATATGGCGACAAACATGAGGACAATAGTTCGAATAATGTAAGTAATATACATAATATCTCATCTCAGAA